CCCCAAAACCCCAAAACCCCAAAACCCCAGTACTTTTAGTTAGAATATAGGAGAGTGAAATATTTATTTGAAATTAAAAGGTATTTTTAAAATATGAAATCGAATTAAAAGCCGTAAACTCAAGCTGAAAAGAATCGAGGTATAGTCTTTACTTTCCATAAATCTAAAATAAACAAAGCTTAATAAAATAGACAGACTCAAATAAGTTCGTGACAAGCAGCAGGAAAAGAAAAGCTAGCAGATTGAGATGCTTTCACCTGAGGATTTGATGGCTGAATTGAAAAATAAGCAACTGCCTACTTTCGGAACAAACTAAGAACGAAGGGACAGATTGAGAAAGTTTCATGGTATTGACCCTCTGCCCAGAGATTAAAGTTACGATCTCGGATATGGATAAGATAACCAAATGTTCAATGGCAAGTAACCACTACAATAATAGCAATAATTCCCAAACATCTAGCCAGTATAACAATAAAAAGCCTAAGAATATTAAAGTGAAAAGCAGAATAATGTAGGATAACCTCCGATTCAAAGAAAGCTTTCAGTCTTGGAGAATATCCAGAAGATGTAGCAGCAACGTGAAGACAGGAGAGTTAAAATAGAAGAATAGAGAGCTAACAAAAAGCAAAGAGAACTCTAAAACGAAGCAGCAGGAATAAAGGTTGATGCTGATTTTGACTTGATGATTGAGAAGTCTCGTTTATCCTAAAAGGATGCTAATCCTCATACCTCTACAGTCAATATGAAAATCTCTGTTTGCGTTCGTAAGAGGCCTATCTTTGCGAAGGAATCTTAGTCAGGAGAAATTGATGCAGTTTCAGCTGCTAATCCCCTGATAAGAGTTCATGAACCTAAGTTTCGTGTTGATGGAATCACTAAGTTTGTTGAGAATCATAATTTCACTTTTGACAATACATTCTCAGATCTAGAATCAAACGATCAATTGTACCGAGCAGCCATCTAGCCAACAATACATTTCCCATTTAACAGAGGTATTGTTACTTGCTTTGCCTATGGATAAACGGGCAGTGGCAAAACTTTCACAATGAAAGGCAGCAATGAGGCAGCGATTAGAGATATTTATGCCCTTGCTAAGACTTAGTATGCTGATAAGTAACCTAAGTTTTACATATCATTTTTCGAAATTTACGGTGGGAAACTATTCGATTTACTTAATGGAAGAGCTAAGTTAGCAGTGCTTGAGGATAAAAACTAGAAAATTCAAATCTAGGGTCTTGAGGAAAAGCTAGTTGATTCAGAAACTGATATGATATCTATGATCGAGTTTGCTCACTCAGAGAGAACAACTCATGCAACAGCGTCGAATGACACTTCCTCAAGATCTCATGCCATTTGCTAGATTCAAGTTAAGGAAGGAAATGGCAAATTAATGGGAAAGTTATTCCTCGTCGATTTAGCTGGCAGTGAAAGAGCTGCAGACTGCCAAAGTAACAATAGACAAAGAAGACTTGAAGGTGCTGAAATTAATAAGAGTTTATTGGCTTTGAAGGAGTGTATTAGAAGTTTAGATATGAGAAAACATAACTAGGATGTGCATATCCCTTTCAGAGCGAGTAAATTAACTATGGTCTTGAGAGACTCATTCATGATGAATGCAGAAAAAACCAGAATCATCATGATTGCTTGTATATCTCCTGGAAGTTCAAGTGCTGATCATACAATAAATACTCTGAGATATGCATCAAGATTAAAAGAAAATCCTGGATAAGGAGGCTTGGAACTTGCTCATAACCCATTATAGTAAAATCATCAGTAGCATGTTCCACAACCAATCAGCTAGCCACCAGCTCCAATTAGATATCAGCCACCTCCCTAACAATAACAGCAATAATAGTAATAAATAAACCAAAGGCCCTAATCTTCTATAATTCATTAGGATAAGCCTGATTCTTAGATAGGAGGACTTAGAGCAAGAGGAATCGGTGGTGGAGGTGGACTAGCTAATGTGGGTAGAATGATTATGGAAAGTGGTTCTAAATAAAATCTAACTTCAGTTGAAGAATAAAAGCAACCACCAATTAGAAAGCAATGGGGCGATCCATAGAGCTAATAGTAACAATAGCAACAAAGAAGACCACCTATTCCTGTCCCACAGTCCAACAGCAACATCAGATAGTAATTGCCTCATAATATTGGATAAAATAACAACAAGTACAGAAATGAGGTTGATGCTATTGAGAATGCTAAATTGGATAACATCAAGGTAAGAGAGCATGACGAGTTGGATGACGACAGTGATGGTTCTGAAATCGGTGGAGACAGAGAAGATGAGGATGACAAGCTTAAAGCTCAGTAGAGACTAAAATCCAAAGCTCAATAAGACTGGAACTACCTAAAGCAAACATTAGGAGGAAATAAAAATAACGGTGGATGGAAGAACTAGCAGTTACCAACTCAGGAAGAACTAGAAGATGGAATGAATAACGAGGACATTCTTGATTTGCATGAGAAAGTAGACAATATTCTCGAAAAAGAAGAAGAACTGATAAGCCAGCATATGCATCTAATTAAAGAAAATGCTTAGCTCTTGACTAAAGAAGGAGAACTCATCTCCTATGTTCAAGGTAACTTTCTATTTTATTATAACCATTATTTCTATAGAGAATGATGAATATGAAGTGGAGGAGTACGTAGAGAAAATGAGCATGATAGTGGAAAGAAAGCTGGACATTTACAAGTTGCTTAACAACAAACTCTAAGAGTTTAAGAAGTACCTCAGAGAAGAGGAGGAAGTTCACAACATGACTGTCAATAAAGGCGGCTTTGCACAAAAAAGATGAAAGTGAACTGGTCAATATTAAAGTTGGAGATTGTAATATGAAGTGACATCCAATCAATATAATTCATAAATTTGTTATGTAATTATATCTTAAATTCATTCGATCTATCACAAATTTCCTAGCGGGGTTTTGGGGTTTTGGGGTTTTGGGG